GCCTGTCCCACGAATGGGCATGAAAATTGATGGTAATCGTGCATACAAATAGAACGTTATTAGTGATGCTAATTGATTAGTGCATGCCTGGTCGCAGCACTGACCCTCTCGCTTTTGTAGCAAACAGTACCAATTGACACGGTGCATAATTGTATTGCAGCCCTGTAAGAAGATGCCTCATGCATAACCATTAGATTTCGGGTACACAGTCACGTCATGTAAATGTGACAACGGTTTGTCTCGCAGCTGGTCTTGTGGCTACAGCAACGCCTTGACGCATGCAGATTCCATTTCAGTTCATTTCTTAGTCGACAAATCTGCAGCGGAAACCATTGTTCCTCGGCTGTACCTTTCCGCCAAGTTTTCCATTCTAGCACTCCGTCTCCACTCTTAATTTCCCATCATCTAGCTTGCTTGTGACATTTGAGGTTCTCACGGCGACGAGTATGAGGAAATCTTTCTTCTGGGTTGTTGTGCAGCGTAGATTGGTAGACGTTTACCGACGTTTCATACGGGCGATGAGTTTGCTGTTTATGAATGCAGCTAATCAATCCTGAAGACAACCAATCTTCATCGTGTTTAATAACGCGATTTCGTGTCTAATAGCGAGTTACGTAAGAAATTAACCTACTTAATGAAAGAAGTGGACTAATTTAATGAAGGAACAAACGGGCAATTAGAATCCTGTCCCTGCATGGCAATAGCAATACACAAAACAGTAATGCATATTGTGCATGGTATTGTAGAATTACAAACATATTAATGGAATTTATTCAACAGTTCTCTTTGTATGAATCGATCATACTATCAGAGGAACGCATACAAACAAAAACACTGAAGTGTCCCCACTATGTAAAACACACAACAAAACTATCTTTATAACAGATTGAATGAACGGCGATTATTATTACAAATTTGATCATAAAGAATATGTATTGACTCACGAGAGAGAAAAGAGAGCAAGGAAATTAACAAGGAGACTTTTTGTTTTGTTTTGTTTTCTCTCTCTCTCTCTCTCACTCACTCGCTCCCCCTTCAAATGTTTGCAAGTATGGGTGTCATGCAAACTGTAAATACTTATTCACAACACACATACATATATATATAAATATATATACATACATACATACATACATATACACATATTATATACATACTCGCACGACTTAAAACTTCGCATACCGTGTAGTGTCTTAGAATATAAAATAAGCAAATGAAAAACTATTAACACTATAAAAATCCACTTTTTTATAGTGTTAATAGTTTTTTGTTTGCTTATTTTATATTCTTAAGGACTATTAATATACAATTTTTATTATAATTGTACTCTTAGTACGTATTAATTTCTGTTGGTACCCAGAAATAAATACGACCAATTAAGGCTGTACTTACTTACCAAAAAAAATACTCCATACTGCTCTATATTTTTATATGATTTGCTCACATGAGTGGCTTAGAAATTTAAATTACATTCTTCCTGAAATCACGTGGATCGTGCAAAGCACTACTTGCAGCACAGTGGTACAGATTTAAATAAACGTAGACGAATATTAATGGCTGTAAGTGACATCTCGTATCGTTTAATGGACACATTCTGAATCCTCGTTCTCGTGTTAGGCAGAACCCAATGGGCGAGTTTTAATTGTATCCCCTGGAATGTAATGGAAATAGCTTGCACCGTCATTGTCTCGGATTAGACGAGCGTGAATGGGCACTAATGGATGAATAATAGGCCTTTGAAACAAATTCATTGCGCTTAGAATAAATCTCGCACTCTCGAATAAGATAGAAATGTGTGCTTAGTTTGTTTCAATGATGCTAACAATTTTATTAAACATGAAAGAGAGGAAAATAAATTGGGGGCAGAATAATGAGAGACAGCAAATATAATTGAAGGAAACTGAAAAATATATTTTTTGCTGGGAATGTTCTCCTAGAAAGTGCTTAATCGTAGTTCTGGTAGGTTGAAGCGAAGGTAAAGCGTTGTAAATAGTGAATTTAATCTCAATGATATTACCTCTTCAGCTTCTTCACCAAATAAATCTAAACACATTTTTAATACAAGGACCAATTGTTTATTGCAGTTTACGGAAATTACAGCTGTTTCTCAGAGACTTCTATGGCACACGTAATTACTCTGTGGACAAAAATTCAGAGAATATTAAAGTAGCAGGTGTATAAATAAACTGACACTTTTATGACAATATTTGCGTAACCAGCAGTGGGATATATTTAGCGTTTAAAACTAATATTCCACCATGCTTGATTTAAAGTAGGCGTCACTGTGGGCGAGCTGATTTGTAAATTGTTGATAGATGAAGTGTCGAACAGCAATTTGTCATTTTCTAGGAACTTATTAACGAGATACGTAGCTTTCATCCTAATGAAATTCCCCCACCATACCCACCGACAAACAATTAAGTATCAGTAGTAATACTGAGTTCTATATCAAACAACTCTTGTTTTAGCTTTCACAGCATCGGAGTAACAGTATAAAGTGAACCTTAAGCATTTAAGCCTCTTATGGTTACTTTATGTATCATCTGTAATAATCAGTAAGTCTGCATTTAGCCCAGAGAGTTTATTTTTCTGTTTCGTATTATTATTCTAAAGCAGCGACTTTTCCTTGAAGGGACTTCACCAATTGATCTCTACAATGGATGAGTGGTGTGAGTTCTTTGCGTTAAAAATTTAATTCTTAAATACATATTATTCAGTCTAACTTCGACTACAAAGGGTTAATACAATACAAGCCATCGTATTAGCCGTTGAAACTCACATATTTTGAAGATATCGAGGTACGTTTCAAACCTCTTGAACAAGAGAGACCGTCTTGTTATTGAACGATTGAAACCAGTCAACCATCAGTATACGAACAGAGGAAGTCAGTAGAGGTTTTCGAAGACTAACTACTCATTCTACCCGTTACAGTGGCAGCGTGATTTAAGACGCGTAGGATTTCAGAGCTCTCGAATGCTGGCGTCACGGGTCTAGGTCTATCTGGAGGCTTCTTTCTGTATTGTGTTATCCTGACGTTGATACAGGCTTTGAGATAGGTCGACTTCATGTCCAACAATCTTTGCCTAGAGCTAATGGGCAGTCCCAAAAAGGCGAATTCCCTAGTGGGTAAAACAAACCAGGTCATTTACACAGATAATAGTTTCAAGTATGGCACTACTAGACGGGCGCTAATAGCCAGAGTACCTGGTGAGCCTATAAATCCACTACTTCAAAGTATGGCGAAGTTCATAAGTTGTTTTATTTCATACAGATAACTTAATAATATATTAATATTAGCTCCATATACTGACCCCCGAATAATATTGACACTAGACTGACTAAATTAGTCTTTTCGGTATCTCTGTCCTTTCTATCCGCGTTTACTTATTTCACTCCGGAATACGAAGTTGCTTCTGCACGTACAGTCTTACCAGCGATTCCTTCTCTTCGCCCAGTTCGTTCGCTCGGTGCAGTTTTTGAAAATAGACCTGGAGAATTTTAAGTTCATTGTATTAAGATGTCGTGAGTGGATTTTAATATATTTCTTTGTGTCGAATTAAGTATAAGGCCCACACCCGCGTCTCCATATTGCTTTTCCTACTCGTTGCTAGGAGGATTTCAGTCAAAATTCTGTCGGTGGTTTCTGTTGTTTCCGCCTGTTACAGTTCGAATTCAGTCGTCCAAATATAACTATTAGAGTATGGGTGAAATTTGTCTAGGTTTTCCCATTACATTATTTCTCGATTCCTTCTTAGTGGACCTGTTTTATCGTCTGTCACTTTCTTCAAGTATCTTAATTTATGTTCTTCATTCAATATTCAATACGGTGTCTTAATTTTGTAAGAGTGTCGTAGAGGAACTTATTTAAATACTGACAGCTTTTTATAGTTTTTAATAGTTAATGAAGTCAGTATTTTTTGCGGAAATTAAAGGACCATTGTTAATCCGCCGTTGAATACTACTGTGCATCTCTTTAATCTGGGGAATACTTCATAATTGCATGAAAATTGTTGTTACGCCTTAACAGTAGGCTGGCCTACTTCCTGTGAAGGATGTTTCATACGTGTACCTTACAGTCGAAAAGTGTTCTCAAGATTAAAGCTATACACAGTACGTTCAGTGAACCATTTAGTGGATGTACTCCTCAATCAGTCCTTCGTTACGAACAGTCTATAATATCTTGTTGATTAATTCAATACACAGCAGTTGTAGAAATATACTCATATTGGTTTTCGCCCAGTATTATCGTCACAACACTTCAGTAGTTGCTATGGAAACACGTGTGAAGCAATAGTGCACGTGTTTAGCATTCCTACTGCCTTATTCACACCATGTGCAGGAACATACACGCAGGCACAGAGTTTAATCGCTAATTGGTTATATTTTCCTTGTGGAATACACCATCCCTCATTAGTCCGTCCTCTTCAAGAGGTGAAGTGAACAAGGGTAGTTTCGCTATACCTCATGAGTTTTTTAAGCATCGAAAATATTTTATATAAACAATTTGCACCTTATTCGTTTTATGTATTTTGAGTGGTGGTTACCACGATACGTTTTAATAGAATACGTAAATGAAGAAGAAGTACCTGCTATTCTAATTTTTGAGGTATGAGGGTGTGAAGAGTGATCAAATTTACGGTTGAACACAGCTCAGAATAAAGGTAATTGTAATAGTAGGAAGATTGAAGTGTTTGCTGACGATGTTTGACGGTGTGATTTTTCAGTGGATATCAGTTGTAATATTTGCTTGGTTGAAGGAACAGATTGGAGTATTTAAATGTAGAATATTCGAAAGAAAATTTATGGAATAAACTTATAAGCTTGCTCACCTTAAGAGCTTCTATCTTATACCCAGCCCATTCAAGATTATGCATTAAGAATTGTAATACTTTGTGATTATAACTTAATTACGTGACTGTTATTTATCATGCGGTATTTTGCTTTGGTGTACACATGTTTGTTCTGAATGAATGCTATTTTTTTTCTTTGTTCTGTTTCAGATGTGTTTACGCAGTTTCAGGAGAATCACAATTTGGTCTGGAGTTCAAGTGTTGTGACTTCAGAGTCCAGGAATTCCTTACTGTAAGTTTAAAATACTACTTCATTTCTGTTATCTTAATCTTTTACGGATTGGGCCTTTGGGCTTTTTTCCAATTCAGGATTATTCATGATGTTTTTAGACATTTGGTAAGACTCCGTCAAACTGGACCTTTACCTGTACATTACAGCATAACACAAAATATACGGACCAACATTGATATCCATTGGGATTTATTAATGTTATGGTTCATGAAATCTTAAAATCAACATTTTGCGGACTTGGATATAATTATTCTGTTAATCAGCGTTTTACAGTTAGAAGTATAGCGATACTTTACTTTATATTCCTACTAATTTGTTTACATATAAACATACACATATATCTCGGTACGTGGTGTATGCACTCACTAATTTCAGACTGTAGTCTTTGCTATGGTATCCAACAATTTCAATGCAGTTGCAAACATTGGAAGTGGGATTCAATTACCTCATTTTGAATGGAGATTAGGTGCATTTAGATTACAACACAACACTAGCCTCATAGTTGATGCAGTAATCTCCCTAATCAATGGACGTTTTGACATTATTTTACAGAGCTCTTTAAAATACAGTAGCACAGTGTGAAAGCATCACCCTCCCTCACTCTTCTAACCCCGTGGTTTAGATTTACGTTATTTGAAATTGAAACTAACCGGTGTACAATGATGCGGCATGTAAGTAACAACGAGACGGGGTGAAATTGTAACATGTTTTGTTTTGCCTAAACAAACGTTAATCAGCTAACCTCATGAAGATCCGACTCCTGTTAGAATCATACGAACAATATAGGTCTATTGTTAAAATATCTCGATGAACGATGCCATTAACCTCGGAACAATATAATTTAGTATAGAAAAATATATTGTTTGGGATCCCAACTAGCCGACGTCCAGTTTCATACGTACTTAGATGCATAAGCTGCCTTTTCAATTGTTTGGCCATGTATTATTCAGTTAAGAATTAC